GTTTTAATCACTCCTACTGCAATTGTTGTGATGGTTAAATTTCAGCATCATTACTAAACAGTTTTACGCATTTATGTGTAAAATCCATAGGAAAACAGACCTGATCCAGCAGCTGCTGATTGCCAGGAGGTCCAACTGCAGACTCCACAAAGAGGCACATGTATATAGCTTATGTTTTTTTGAATCAGCATTTAATCAGTGTTATTAAAAGCGATGATAAATGTTGTTAACGGCTGTGTATCGTGCAGGAAACCATAGGATTGTTGAAAGCGCTGCAATCAGCTGTCAAACTGGATGATTTAAGTTATACAGACGGTTGGAGCTGTCAGTCTCAGTGGTAAGGTACGGTGACACATATCTGAGGGACCCCTGGCTGCAGTGCCTACGGTATCTGCAATAAATGGGCATGTGTGTTAGTGAATGAGTAAAACTTACCTGCCACAAGAAGCTAATATAAGGTGGACATATGACGCCCGCTTCTGTTCTGGGATTCACAGTATTAATACCCACTGTAAAGTTGTCATGAACGGGGAAATGAGCTATAGAGACCAAAACCGTTGTACCAGGCTGTAAACATGTAAAGTTAGGCCCTTTAATTCGGGGCCTTATGGAGATTGACTAACTTCTAGAGCCAGCCTCAAGTGGCCATTCAGGGAACTGCAGTTTTGGCATTTGCCAGGCACAGAGGTTGGATTTGAAAGACTGTGATAGCTGATTGAGGAAGTTGTTGAGTAAACCCAAACACATTTTAATGTAGTTTCATTGATTTATTGTTTTTATCTCTTTTTGAAAGATATGAAAATAAGTCTTGAATTTAAGGCAATGCAACAGTAAAGAGAAAGTTTGTCACAGAACTGGGTTTTGGTAGAGTTTTCAACATGGTTCAACCAAACCTATTTGTCCAAGCAAATCCTTGCAATGATTACATACTTCCCACAGAGCAGGAATATCCAAGTGTTTGTCAGGGTCTTCCAGGATCCATATGGAGCGAAGGAACTCCTCAGTGAAGCTTCCAATAAATTAAATTCCCTTGAGGACCTCCTAACGTTATGAATTTATTATTAAAGCGTCTCTCTGAGGTTGAAATTCCTCATTATATCAGAGTCACAACCCCTGACTTTGGCTATCCACAGACACCATATCTGACTCTCTTTCTCAGACACACATTCAGCTCTCAGTGCTGTTCTCGCTGTCCCCGTTCCTGTTCCTACTTTGTAAATCCTTCCGTTTGTGCCTTCGTGCTGTGCTCGGGAGCGTAGGGGTACACAGTTAGGGTGGTCATGGTTTCTTGTCTCGGCCTTGTTGGTCTGGTATGTGTTTGAAGCGGCACTTGTCGCCATAGAAACAGCCCGTGGTCCGCCAGTAGAAGCACTTGTCGCCATCTATGGGTACACACCGTCTGGGCCTGTACAAACAGAGAAGAAGATCCTGCATCATATTCACAGATACATGCACATGATGTAAATAAACCACAACATAAATGAAGGTAATGGGATGCTAATAGTGCATGGAGATTATTAACCACTGAAAAATTCCACTGGGCTTGGTGTTCACTTCTGTGCAGAAAGGATTATACTGTGATTACTGTGTTCTTGCAAATGATTGGTTGCTATATTATTATATACTGTAGTCACTGATTGGAAAAAGCTCTGGAATCTGGATTTCCTTCCTCTTGGAGAGTCGTTACTGTTAATGTGAGTCACCAACATAATGACATTTTATAAATATGTTATGTGTAAGTTGCTCGATACCCTGCGGCAGCTGAGCTCTGCTGTGTTGCAGCAGCAGTGGAGCCGATGCTGGTGTTGGTTCTTTGTATGGTGGGCAGGGTCCGCTGGACCCAGCGGTCTGGATACCTCATCACCAGCTTGCTGCTCCCCAGCTCCACCCCCTGGACGGGAGGAAACAACACAGTGAATCAAACTTATTCTAGTGGAGCCAGAACAGGGTGAAAACTGCCTTTAACATACTCGGACACTGACACTGACATCCGAGATGATAAACATCAAGTCGAGTTTGTTCATCTGGAAATGAGCCTACCTACGACTCACCTGCAGCTTCTCCAGGGCTCTGGCAGCCATGTTGGCATTCTTGAAGTTGACGAAGGCACAGAAACGCTCATGAAGAACTCTGATGCTCTCTATCTCACCAAACCTGAAACCATGGACACACGGAGCCTTTAACCTTCAGTACAGCAGTGTGGTACAAGTACTACTTTAAAACTACTTCTGTAACTATACTAAAGCTACTACTAGTTCTCACATCTTTGTCTGTCAGCAGGATTACGGAAAAACTACCAGCCCAATTTAAATGAAACCTGGTGGAAGAGTGTAAGCATACTACCACAACTGCTAATTTTACTGTTGCACTTCACTACCACAAATATCACTATTAGAGTATAAAAACCCACTTCCAACACAGACACACACACACACACACACACACACACACACACACAGTGTTTTTACATTTTGAAGAGATCCCAGAGGTCTTTCTCTGTAACTTCCAATGTAATGTTCCCAACCCACAAAGAGCGACAGCTCCTGGAAGAAAGAAAAGATGAAAAAAAAAAAAGTGAAGAATGTGAACAGGAAGTCAAAGTAATGCAAAGATCACAGGAGAGAATAAGAGAGAACCATTATTGGTCCATTATTTGATTATTTGTTTGTTATTATATGGAGCTATTATTGTAATAGAACTATTTACAAAGGTGAATGGAGAGTTATCTAACTGTATCTCAATATGTGTGTGTGTAATCAGATTTGTATAAATATTATCAGACAAAGAACCAACATTTGTGTACATTTACAATATCATTTATGTTACCAACAGTGGACATTGTGTACATTATATACTGAAAGATAATAGATGCTGTATATATTCCTAGAGAGAAATAGAAGATTTGTTTGCTTTGTGTTGGACACAGTACAGTATTATAGGTTATACGTAACATTCACACTCCAAAACATAGTCTGTATTCCTAAAAAATTCCAAGTGAGTGTGATTATGTGTGTTGCTTATACGACCTACCCACTCCGGTCCAGCTCAGATGTGTGCTTCAGTGCTGGGAAGTAAAAGGAGACAGGAAGCAAACGTCACGTAATGACAGACTAATGAAAACAGTACAGAACATCACTGACATTTATTTACCATAATTAACCATTGTGGCTACACTAATGTACTGACACTGTATGAACTTGTTGTTTTTATGTGTACTGTGAAAACAAAATACCTAGTAAAATGTTATTAATCAGCAATGATTCTGTAACTTACAAAGTACTTAAAAAGTTGATGTAATCAGTTTACTACATAGTTTTCTCTCTCCTTAATATAGATTATGACATATCTTCATATCATAATATAGTAGTACATTTATATTTTACAGTCCATGTAGTCCATGTACTGTCTTTTTACACTTAAAGGACCAGATAGTAGGTTTCTGTGTAGGACAAATGGCCGCGAAACACTGATTTTGTCAACAACAAAAAAAGCCCATTAAGTATGTTTGATTGTTAAAAAATGTAAAATGTCTAGAGACAGTGTTTGGCTTGTCCGTTCTGAGTTACTGGTGGTTCAACATAGCGACCACTGTAAATAAAAACAGCTCATTCTAAGGAAACTAAATCACAACAAATCTCATTCAGGTGATTATAAACTAATGAAAACACACCCATGACTATTATATTTATATATTCCATTTCTGCCAATAGGTCCTCCAGAATGTTACACACAGGATCTTTAAGTCTTGCAGTCATTATGTATCAGTAGTAGCAGCATGTTTATGCTATTGATGTCTGATGTGACTTTAACTGGTCGCAGTGCTTCCCCACTGTGGACAGAAATGGTACTGCAGCTGACTCTTACTTTTGGCTTCCGGTGACAAGAGGACCGCCTGAACAGTGGTGAACTTCTCCAGCAGCAGTTTACTCTGCTCTTCCTCAAAGCCCAACACCTAAAGTGAAAAAAAATTAAATAAAACTGAACAACTCAACCATGGTCAATAGATTTAAGTCGTCTCATGTAACAGATTCAAGCATGACATTAGGACAAGAACACCTCACCATGAGCTGCAGGACCCGGCAGGTATTAAGTTTACTGCATGCTTCCTTACAGTGCGGATCCAACTTCAAAACCTGCTCTATGGCCTTCTCTGCCTCACTGTACCGC